TAGTTGATGACACAAAATATCAACCATCTCTTTTAAAGTCGACATTTCGCAAATTCCATGTTTCATACAATGACCTTGTTTGCAAAATTAACACAGTCTATTGTTAAGTCGAATGTTTAGTGACATTTTTTTATATGAATTGTCAGGCCATTTTTTCATTTACCTGATCATGACAAAGAGTACACGGCAGTTTTTACCGGTGGACAGCTAGGGTATGTTCATTCCTCCATGGCACCTTATCCCACCTCTGTTTTCACTTTTCAGAGGTCCATGTTTGCTCTGCTCATAATTTGTATTAATCATTAAATTGGATTTTAGGTATGATTTCTGTTTGTTTTTTTTTTTTCCATATGTCTTTGATGATACTTTAAGCATTTGTTAATTAATCTGTAGATATTTGAAGTTCTTCGCCGTTTTTAAATCAACAGAACAGTGTTTTCAAGACTCAATTTGTTTTATAAACAGAAACCTAAACCGATTTGAACAAACTTAGGCCACTGTGCTCTTTCAGAAATTGTCAGCGCATTGAGAATTTTTCAATTACATAGTATTTGGTGCAATGAATTGTGAATTTACTGGCAGAGTGCGTTTTGAGTCTTCTGAAATAACATATTTTAAACCCTGAAACAAGCAAAATGACATTTTTACACATGCTTTACCCTAATCACTCAAATAGGTCACAAAATCTTTACCCTAGTCGTAAATTTGCGTTACCCTAATCTTGTCCAAATTTTCTACCCGTAATTTAGCTTTAAATAGCATAGATCATGCAAAATTTTTGCAATAGCTATGTACTTCTGTTTAAAATAATTTAAATAAAACCATCCATTACATAATGTAAGCCTGTATAATGCGTAAACTAAGTGCAAAATAATCGAGCGTATTTGCCTGTCGCCATCTTGGACTTGGGTTACGCACTTTACCCTAGTCCTTTCTACACAGTTTTTGGGTGCTTTCTCTTGGGATGATTCAATTTATTTGCTTAAAATGGGATGGTGCTGGCCAAATTCTTTTTTTTTTTCTTAATAAAAAAATATCAACATATAAGGTACAAAAGAACCTTTATGAAGAATATATATGGAGCTCATTTAGACTCCAATTTGTTATAATCTAGTTTTGTTTTCTTTCTGAAATCATTTATTGAAAGAGAAAAAGAGAAATTATGATTTGCAAAAAAAAAAAAAAACAAACTTGAAACATTTTCATCTTATTGCTTAATTGCAACTGGACATGAATGATTCCAATATACCCTCAAAGAGGCATGGATTTTAAAGATTTTATTTCTTACTAAGTTGTCATTCTGAAACATTCACATTCAACAATGATATACATGTACAAACAAAGTTTTAAAAAGTGCTCTTTTTCTCAGAGTTTAACACATTATTTTCTGAAGAATTCTTTTTAATATACTTTGTCAACATTGTTCTTTTATAGAAAAAAAATGAACATATAAGGTACAAAAGAAATTTTATGAGGAATATATGTGGAGCTCATTTAGACTCCAATTTGTTAAACTAGTTTTGTTTTCCTTCTGAAATCATTTTTTGAAAGAGGAAAAGAGAAATTATGATTTGCAGAATAGACTAATCTGATACATTTTCATCTTATCGCTTAATTGCAACTGGCCATGAATGATTCCAATATATCTTCAAAGAGGCATGGATTTTAAAGATTTTATTTTTAACTAAGACGTCTTTCTGAAACATTCACATTCAACAATGATATGCATGTACAAAGTTTTAAAAAGTGCTCTTTTTCTCAGAGTTTAACACATTATTTTCTGAAGAATTCTTTTTACTACACTTTGCATCAACATTGTTCTTTTATACATGATCATTTGTTTGTTTGTTGTTTAACGTCCCTCTCGAGATTTTTTCACTCATTGGAGACGCCACCACTTGTCATTGGAGAGCTGCAAATTTTGACCTATACTCGGCACTCAAGACCATTGATCTTCGTGTCAGCATCTACTGCAACACGCGACTTTGGTTTGTGCGGTCTCTCCGAGGGACCGGTCTCCACGTCCCACAGTGGGATTCGAACCCGCAACGTTAGGATCAACTCCTTACTCTGCAACTCTAGAGCAGACGCTCTAACCACTGCGCCACGAGGGCGACCAAGATCATTCTTAAAAATGTTATCAAATTATATATTTTTAAAGAAAATATATTTAATCGTAATACATTCATGATAGCAAAAATATGTAAAGTAACTTTATAGAGTGCTCTGATATACATGGAGTGAATCACTGTTTAAAAAATGTGTTACCCAAATATTATCTTGATTCATTATTGAAAAGTAAGGTAATTCCATTGGATTCAATCTAATCTAGTGCTTCTTTATCTGCGCATGTCAAGTTCTCTGAAAATAGAAAAGCAAATTTTATTTACAAAATTTTCCAATTTTTAAGTGTCCATATTTTTTATATATTGTATTGTATTTAATACGTTCTGGTGTATCCGTAGAAAATGGGAACATTATTGAATTATGTGTGTAATTTTTTACTTTTATTTTGACTTCATTTTATGCAAGTTTGATAGAATTTAAAACGATCATAAATAATTTTCATCACGATATAGAAATATGATAACGACGGTAAAATGAATTTTGACGTCAAGGCGGCGAGAATACCTTAAATTTAGTGTAGCATATCTAGGGGGTTGATTTCTCATTTGTATATTTTTTTCTCACAAATTATTCGAAAAGAGTAAGAACATGGTGTCGGACGACGATCAATTTTTACTATCTTAATAATGTTGACCTGGATGCGAAAGTCGGTGCTGCCTGATGCAAGTCAACTGTATATGATACTAGTACTTCATGTAATTTTTACATGATGGCAACAACACATTTTTTTTTTATTTTTTAAAGGATCATTAAAGAAAAGAGGTTTGATTTCTATAATGTATAGTGGCGTATTTCTGCCCCTCCCCCCTCACAAGTTTACATAATTTAAATCTTGCATGTATGGGGCAGAATATATGCCACCATAAGAATGTTATATAAGTGATGACAGAAAACGAAAATTGTTACACAAGTAATTCCCGATCGATTCAACATGAGAAAAAATCTACAACTGACGAGACGTTGAGGCAGCGATGACGTTGATGCAGCGATGCTGCTCCAAGTCAATGAACAGGGGCCCGTTTTACAAAAGAACTTACGACTAAGACTAAAATTTAATTCTCTAATAACTTTCTTATTTACACTCAATAGAAAATGGTTTTAATATCTTTAAAAAGTATGTAGAAAGATACTTTTACGCTATCAAGTTTAAATAGAATCATTAATTTTGCAAAATTTTACAATCAACTGAAGCTTTTGGTCTTAGTCGTAAGTTCTTTTGTAAAACGGGCCCCTGCAGGTGTATAATTTTACTGGGACTTATCAAATGATCCAATTAACTAGTTTTTTGCACATGAAATTTACTTGTTCTTGAAAAATCTTGAGAAATTTTCATTTTTAACCTTCATAGAGTAAAAGAAAATGCTTTGATAATTTCCGAACAGCCCTCGTTCTGAAAGGCGCTACAATACATGTAGGTGTAATATTTTGGTTTCGTTTCGGATCGATGTGCTGCGAGGATTTGAAACATTGCATAGAGGTATTTTTAAATAAGGAATAACTGTCTAGTTGTTTTTCTTATTTTATGATGTGATCAAGCAATTGGCTTGTGTGACGATATACATAAACGCCGAAGGGGTTTATGCATAAAAGTATCAAGTAAGCCAACTGCTGGATCTTCATCATAAAACCAAAAAACCTGACAGTTATTCCTTATATTACATGATTCCATAAATTAACGAGCTCGATCCAACCCCCAACCTCTCTCTCTCTCTCTCTCTCTCTCTCTCTCTCTGCACTTGATTTTTTAACCACACCTATCTATGAAACAATAGGTTTATGAAGAAATCAAGTTAATTTATTACTTGTATACTTGTACATGTATAGTTTTATCCTGAACAAAGAAATTTGAAAATTTGAACACGTAAATATTATAGTACAAACTAAGATTCACCCTGGAGTCTGAATCCCGCCCTAACAAAAATACTACAGTGAACTATAGTAAATCAAAGTGTCAGTTTGAAAGTGATCACTATAGTAAATCAAAGTTTTCAAAGTGATCACTATAGTGTCAAAGTGATCACTATAGTAAATCAAAGTTTTCAAAGTGATCACTATAGTGTCAAAGTGATCACTATAGTAAATAAAAGTTTTCACCTTAGTAAATCAAAGTTTTTATAGTGATCACTATAGTAAATCAAAGTTTAATAGTGATAAATATAGTGTCATAGTGACCACTATTATAAATCAACTGTCAAAGTTATCGCTAGAGTTAACTATAGTTTTATAGTGTCAAAGTTATTACTATACCTGTATTTAACTATAGTTAAGGATAGTAAACTATAGTTAACTATAGTATTTTTTGTTAGGGCGAACCCAGGACCAATACTTTCACAAATCAGGTAGAGGGCTCATTACTTATTATAATCAATAAAAAGAAAATGAATATCAAATACAACAAAAATGAAATGCTGAGTTTGTTCTAATTGCACAAAGCAATACATATATAAGGACACTACTGTTGTGAAATTCTATTTCTGTAGATCAGACATGTAGTCAGCACATTGTAGCTATGCTCTGTCCTATAACAGAAGAGTACCTTCAGTCCTAACACCTGAAACAAAGAAAACATATAGGGTAATTATTCATTGCATACATGAGAATATTAATGCTACATGTACTACAAAGATGTTCATCTCACGAGCTCTCTAAATTTATATGAATTCGAACCTCTGACCAGAATGAATGATTTACAATATCTTTATGTTCTTTTTTTACAATAAGCTTAAAATGGTTTTGTTACAGTAAACTAACTCTCTCTCTCTCTCTCTCTCTCTCTCTCTCTCTCTCTCTCTCTCTGCTTGAAACATCTCCAATAGAAAATAATTTGTGTTACATATTGTAATTTTCACCAGTATCTCACCTGTATGTGCTTATTTTTTGTTACGCAGTCTGTAGACGACATATGTAGAGAGACCTACAAGTATTGCGAATCCTAGGATGGCACCGGCAAATATTAGAATATTCCTTTTCAGTTTCCTACAATGGAATGATTATGAGGTAAAAAAAAAAACCAACAAAATACTGTCATTAATTTATAACTCTGATATTAATTAAAATCATGAGTACAATAATAGATAATGAAATAGCTGTGTAGTGGAATGGCAGAATGACAGATTGGAATCTAGGTGTCTATACTTAAATCCTCGCTTAAACACTCTTTTCGGTCATTTTGTTTTAATTTAAAAAAAAAAAATACGTTATACATGCATAGTTTGACATTATTTTATGACTAAGGAATAAGATAATCTCAGCGAGATCCGTATAGACTAAAAATTTCGGTCTGGTGTCTAGATACGGATCTCAAACCAGTGTCACATAATCATTCGGGGTTTCTTGCCCGAACTTCAAATACGTCGTTCTACTACTATGTCCTATAGAAATGAACCATAGTACGAAGTATTTGAAGCAGACTATTGCTGGAACTCTTCATCATCGGAGGTTTAAACGAATAGCTTATGCTATGAAAAATCAACAACTTTATATTTTGATGGAATTAAACTTTTCAGAGGTAACAGATGAAAGTTTTATGGTGATGGGGAATTAAAAGGATGTCCAAAGCAAAAAGTTGAAGCGGACAGCTAATTCATTTCAGCCCGTATTAATCGAAACAAGCGGTCGAAGTTCGGGCAAGAAACCCCGAATGAGTTTATGTGACTCTGGTCTGAGATCCGTAGAGACACCAGACCGAAAATTTTAGTCTATACGGATCTCGCTGAGATTAGAATAAAGGAAGGTCGATTTAAATGACATATCGATATCTGAGCAAGTGTACATAATTATTTATTTATTTATTTTTTGGATCTTATCTCTAGGTAAAGCATAAAATACATGTACCGGTTTAATATACTGTATACACTATGATACATTTACATTACATAGTGTAGGTTTAAGTTTATTCAAATCATGACCCTCGGGGGTAGGAGAGGGCCACAATGGCCATCAAAAATTTATGTAGGAATATATTGGAAAAAAATCTTTAAAAATATTCTTTTCAAGAACACCAAAGCCATGATTAGCCATATGGAAACATGGAAACATCCTCAGGTAGTGCAAAATTAAACTATCCTATATGTGACATGTGAAATTCAGTTATTCATTCTGCATGAAAGCAGAAACTCTAAAAGATTATTTATAAACAACAACATAAAAGGCAAAAAAAATCATGATTACTGTATGCGATAGCATAATTTTTTTTTTTTATATAAATTTCTTGAAAAATAATGAGAAAATAAATATACAATTATCGAAATGTACTCACTCAAACTCGCATTCCTCTTCCCTCTCGCATTCTGCGCTGGATTCCCTGATAATATTAAGACATGGTTTTTTTCCTTAATTTATAGATAAATGATGGAATTATCAAAATGGTGGCTGTTTTAATTTCATTTATCCAAATTAGATTTAATTTACATATTTTATATCTTAAATTTTGATTGAAGTCTGAATCATTCACAGGAAATGAAAGACATCTTGTTTATATCGATTTTTCTCTTCTTTTTTCAAAAAAGAAATGAGGGAATTCTGAACTGTCTATAGATATTTGACCTACCTAAGAAGTCCAGAAAATATTAAAATGCAGATGAATTCAATCTTCATTTCTTATGAAATGATACGATACTGCCAGATCTAGACAAAGAGAGTTTTCCCAAAAGAATTTATGGTGCCAATATTATTACTCAATACAATATTCAAGATCTTTAAATTTAACGACTATTAAACCTTGTTGAATGTTTTCAGCACTTTTTACAAAATTAATCTGCAATGTCATATTTATAAAAGCATATGATGCCCCCGCCCCAATTTTTCTTATGAAATGTGAATATAAATCAAACATGCTGACCTGAGCGTAAATAGAATATCCTCTCAACTCAATAGCAATGGACGGACAGTGCAGATATGTACTGCAGCAGCAAAAACTGATGCTAATTGAAAACACCTCCTTGTTACGATACCATGCTCTACACTCTATCGATCTACATGTATAATTACTGTAATGCACTCTTACATTGTCTACTGAAGGGTAACGCATGTACAGTATCATTTATTATTTCTTCAATGGTCAAGGGAAATATAATAGTGTTCGTGATTGTACATAGAAATGTTAGGGAATGAGAAGTTCCATAAATGAGTACTGTTATTTTATTAAAAGTAATTTGCATTGGCAATTGTACATAAAATTGTATCTTGTGTGGAAAAAAACCCCAACAGTTTGCATGGTATAAATAGTTATATCCGACCGTCGAAGGGCTTATAAAGAAGAGGTCTAAAATATAGAAAAGATGCACCATACTTCTTCAATTGATATAATAATGCTTATAAATTTTCAGAAAAATAAGGATGGGGCACAATAGAGTAATAGGAATATAGTAATTTAGTAGATGAGTAGAATATTGTAAAATGTTTTATCACTTTGTTACATACATGTATAATAAGCAACACATTGGTTATAGGTCCACAACAACAAAAGAAAATACTGATTCCTTTGTCACCTTCTAAAACAAACAAAACTAAAATATAGGAGTATAAAAATGTTTATTGTTTAGTTTTCATAAATAATAATATTTTTTCCTGCCAGACAGCTTTGACAAACATTTGGATTCCACTGTAAAAATAAAAAAAAAATGCTTTAATTGACATAACATAAATAATAAAATTGCATAATCCTTAATTTTAAACCATGTAAATCTAGTGTAAACTTCAAGTAATTTACAAATTTTAAAATTTTTAGGTTGATATGAATTAGGAATTTTTAAAGGAATTGGAAAACGTACGAAGATAAAGATGAATTTAATGAACAAATAAAAAAGCGTACAAATTATACCAGTTCCCATTGTCTTCAGGGGTTCCTTTATGGTATTGGTTTAAATGTTGTTGTTGTTGGAGCTTGCGTTGTTGGTGCTTGTGTTGTCTGAACGCATGCGCTCTCGGTTACTGAAATATATTATTTGATTACTATCCATATAATATATGTATGAATTATATCATTTTATAATATCGCATCAAATAGTTTGTTTAATTTGTAACAGTCCGTATTTACTTGATTTTTGGCATTCCGTCATACAGGTCTTTATTTTCTTGCAATCGAAAACCCTTTTTCCATTATTAATGTGAGAAAAATAGTATAATTTATTTTTAAAATTAATGCGTATTCATTTTAGAGAGAAGTCTTATTCTAATTTAATCACTTTACAAGTAATTATCTGTTTGTTCGATTCAATTTGTTACGGAAAAAAATCAGTAATTTTTTTTTCTTTTGTTTTGAGAACAAAATATATACGAGGGTCGTTAGAAATGTTCGCAAGAAAATCATTGTGTACTTTGAAGAATGACACATATTTGATCAAATTATTATCTTTTATTGATAATATAGAAAAAAAATCAGTTCAATTTACAAATATTTTGTTTTCAATGTTGTTTACGTTGCAGTCAAAAGATTCCCCGGAGCAACCACTTGAAAATTTTTTTTAGGTCACGTGACAACCTGATTCTACACCTTTCAATCTTTTAAATAATTTTAAATATCTCTCAGTTATACACACTTGTTTTGTCTTTTTCACTTTAAAAAATCATGTTTATATTGCAAGACATGTTACTTTTTTCAAATATGTCTTTTGTGGCCTTTCTAATATCAGTTAGATTCTAAACAATTTAAGGTCCAGATGTGAAAACAATGCGAATCCGTAGAAGAAATGTGGGGACAATAAGCGGGGGTATCGCAGGACTTGATCTACAGTTCGGTGCTCCAAGACGTTTAATGACGTTGCCATTCTTGACTTTGTTTTTACACATCGATCATCTACATGTATAATTCGCGATTTAACAGTCATTACTTCTCCAATTTAATCCAAAATGTCACCAAAGGACGTTTGATAAATATTTTAGCGATAGATGAAATATAGTACATGTTTATGTGCTAGAACAGTGAAATATTTAATTTCAAAAAATTGTCTGTAAAAAATGCAAAAATGTAACTTGCTCCGTGAGGCCTATTTTATCTTATATATATAAAAGTGTGTATGTAAAAGTAGCTTGATTTTATTGAGACCTGTTTACGCCATCGATGTTTTCTTTCGTTTATAATGAATGTACATAAAGATCCAACGAAAACGCGTTTTTTGGTATTTTTTGGTACTTAATTTATGTATCAAAAACATAAAAGACATGATCAATTAATACACCAATAATTACAAATGCTATAAGTATACAGTTCTTGTTTAGGAAGAAATTTGATCAACGGAAGAGAAGGACGCAACTGTGTTATGATTAGATTAGCGAAAGAGAATATCTTTGGGAATGGACGTTGTCGTGATCTCGAGTCGTATCTATATTATGTTTTCTCTGTGATAACCCTGAAATATTAGCATGTTGATTTCTCGATATTTACAACTTCACCCGTTATGCATAAATTATCCCACGTTTCCAACTGCCGTTGATGCCCTGGCATACCCAACAATCCAGACATTGATTCCTTAAATATATGCCCCCCCCCCCCCCCCCCCCATACGCTAAATTACTATGCACAGTTGATTTTTAACATTTTTTTTAAAATTTTCTGTTATCTTTAAATCTTAATTTTCTTCACTTTTGAATTGGTAGCGACAGGGACCTATATACCATTATACATTTATTGCATGATCGTGAGGGAAATATGAAGATTTATCTCATGTTTACCCCTTTATCCCGTGGATATGACTCATTGGATAATTTTTTCATATTCCACAGTTAAGTGCAGTTGTGACGCCACAATGGTTTTTGCGTTAGAGTGATGAAGTAAAATAAAGTGGAGTCCTATATAAAACAGTGTAAAACATTGGTTGTGAAGTATTAAACATGGGATAAAAAGAATATCCCATGATTTGTAGTTGGATATGACTTTTATCCAACTCGTCGTGTGTTTTTATCCCCTCGCCAAGGCTCGGGGATAAAAAAAAAAACACACAACTTGTGGATAAAAATCATATCCAACTACAAATCATGGGAGATTCTATATTTATTCAGCCAAGAAAAATCATATTCCCCGAGGGCTTCGCCCAAAGGGAATATGATATTTCTTGGCTGAATAAATCTTCATGTTTCCCGAACATTCATGCAATGAATTGTTTATTATACCAAAACAAGCATAAATTTTTAAATAAACATAAACTTTCAAATTCGGCACCACTTTCAAATTCACCTTCATTTTTAACGTAAAATTACTGAAACCCTTTGACACAACACCTCCAATGAAACATTCAGCAATTTTGTGACGTGAACCAGGCTATTGTGACGTCAACTACTCTCAGGAGTTTGAACGATAACCTTTGCGGGAAAATGCACTAGGTTTCCGAAGAGGTGGAATATGATGAAAAGCATGCCGATGACAGGGAAATATGAAGTTTTATGGCCCTGTCACGTGATAATCTAGAACCAATCAGATAATGCGTTGTATAGAATAATTATAATGAGGTATAATAATAGTATATAGGTCCCTGGTATCGGTATTTCTATGTATGTCAGATTTCGCTACGGTAAGCATGCTAATTAAATAATCAAAGGATAATCAATATTTAGATCATAAGTAAAAGATATTCACTGAAAACAAATAATTAGAGCCATTCTAAAATTAAGGTCACAAGAGGTGAGGACAGCTATGTACGGTGTCCAATGATTGCTCACGGTAATTACTGTATATACAGTCGATATGACGAGTATGAACTGATATAGGTGACGCTAATAACTGTAAAGACATAGAAATGTATATTTAAATTACATGTTTGATAAGTTTTTTTAATAAATATATATATGCATTTGAAATATGAATAAAAAAAATATACATCCGAATAGCGATTATAATATTCGATACTCGGACGTTCGATCGAGTACCCGGTTAACCGGGTACTCGTTGACATCCCTGATATATATATATATATATATATATATATATATATATATATATATATATATATATATATAGTCAGGAATTTTTTTTCAAGCACTATTTTTTCAAAATAGAGAAAAATTTCTTAATGGATGATACATGTAAATACGATATTTGAGGCACATTTTGTTTAAAAATTTCACAAATTAATAAAAAAAATTATTAATTAACAACAAATATATAAACAATTGCCTAAAAAAAATAACTATTCTTTTAGATTTGACGGAAATGCATACACTTACCTGATGTGAAGATGAGAAAAACAAGAAGCAACGCAATCAAATATGAAAGAATAATGCGGAAATCCATCATAGATTTGTTGTAAACCCCGAATAGCGTTAGCCCTATGCCTCCTCACCGCACACATACCTCCTGATAATTTGAAAGTCATATATAAGGGTCCTTTTTGGGTAATTACACATGTCATTGATAATAAGATATCGCATGACAAATGGGATTTAAAAAAGCATACAGCATTGATTTTTTTTCAAAGATTGGTGTATACATCCTAATGCTTAAATTGTCCTTAAAATTAAACGATGGTCCACAGTTGTTATTTTCGTCCGATTATCACATCTGAAGAGAAAAGTTTTGTTCTTTGAAGTATATGAATGTCTTTGTAATCAGTACGGTAATTTCCAATGAAGTAAATGGCATTGTATAAAATCAGAAGTATAAAAAAAATTCCGTTTTTATAAATTTGTTTGTCATTTTATATAAATGGTATTGTATAAACTCAGAGAGACGAAAAAAGTAGTACATATAAATTTGTTTTTGGAGTCAAATGGTCTAATATGGTTAATTTGTGGATAATACAACGTATAACTACATGCAAAGCAACTATCAATCAAATATTCTAATATATTTGAATATATTTCTTTGAGAAAAAAAAATAAACAAGAACACATAGATAATTTTAGATATAACAACACCAGGTACACGTTCTTTCTATTCTGTTTGTTCTGAACATATTTTATTGATAAATAATCAATAGAATTATTCTTGGAAAAAGGTTCGATCAACGTTCTAGTTACTGCCTTACCATGCGCATGTAATAGTGAAAAGTTATTGTAAATTATATACTTTAAGCCCATGAGATACATGAACATCGTCAAAAAAACCAGAGAGATGAACTCTAAGGATAGGTTTTCATTGTTTCAAAGTAAGAGATGAATATCTGAATAAAGTCTCAGTAGATAGTCAAAAAGATTGTTAGGAGCATTAAAATATTTTTTCAAATGTATTTTGCATTTATGCTTCCTGAAAGAAATTGTAAAAAATATTAGGGACCTAGTTATTTATTTTTCTAGCTGACTCCTCTTATAAAAACGGAATATATTTTAATATCGGTAGTTAAATTCAACTTAGAAGAAAATTATTTTGCACAAAATTATACGTACGGAATCAATTTGAGATGTTTTGAAAATAAAATTTCATTTCATTTTTGAACAAGTTTTCTTTGATGTTAAGAATAACCTACTAATGTCTCTAACAGACTGTACAGACTTGTATAAATTAAGCAGGTATCAAAGAATATTTCAATGGAGAAACACATGCATGAAATTGGTGTATATAGGTTCAAATAAAGGGCGTATAATTACTTCGAAATACAGAGATATCTTTTATAAAAATTATTGAAGAAATTGCATGTTTATGCAACAAAGCTCAAAAATGTCTAATAAATCTTTCTAAAATTCTAAAACCTTATTAGACATGACAACTTCTTTACGTTGAAAACAGATATGAACACCCAGATTACTGAATTGCGTAATTGCACTTCTTTAAATCAGAATATTCATAACAAAATAGAAAGATTTAGTGGGGATTCCAAACACTCGCATAGTGATACATGTATCCCTTCTCCTTCTTACAATTTCCTTTAGAAACAAGGAAAATGAATTTCAGGGAAATATTTGGTTGATCAAAAAATGAGTAAGAATTTATTCTTCTAATTCACGTATATAGTCCTGTTTTGGATTCATTTATTAAAATATTTCAAAAAATATCACAAATTGTTTTTCAAAAAAATGTCCATTGGCGTATATTCTGAAGAAAAAGAACAGCAAAATTTACATAGAAATAATTTATCAAAGAATTATATTTCATTTTCTTATGTAAAAGTTAATAATAAACAATATATTAATCAACAAATCTATTCAAACATTTATTACGCAAAGGATAAAAATGTAATATAAATCATGGGAGATCTACTTGGTAATTTGCACAATTTGATATGGTAATTGACAAGTTCTCTGTAAAATGACAGGGGTAACGGAGTGCGATCAGATAACGTAAGTCGTAAACTACCGTTTACTGTCAAAAAGCTTGTATTCCTGTCATTAAATCTTTAAATCTAAAACAGGCCCAAGGTTTTGCTTCTGTTTCTTAATCGTCAAAGGTTTGATTTATTAGAAAATCATTTTTCTATTAATTTCTTTGAGGTCTCAGGACAGTTTTAATTTTACTCATCTTATATCAACTTTCTTATTACAGCAGGGGCGTAGCTGCCTATACGCAAATACGCAAGTGCGTACACATCATTTAAAAAAAAAAGAGGGAGAGAGAGGGGTTATTCGAAGAAAAAAATCTCGGTACCATCCAACAAATATTCGTGTTTCCAATTATTTTGTGTCAAAATGTTTCTATTTGAAATTTATATTATCACGACTATATAATAAACCTTTAATTTAAATCCTTTATTTAATCACTGCCAAATCCAAATAAATCGTTCATTAATTTGCCATTATTGTTTTCAGTACATTGCTATGATCTACTAGTATATGGTTTAAAATACGATATTGTTATAATTAATGTTAAAGTTAATTAATGAATGAAATATTTGGAAAACTCAGGAGCTTCTGGGCCCTCACCAGCAGGCACATGAGGGGTTCAGGGGAATGACCTATCCACCACTTATTTCCAAACCTAACCTTTAACTATTGAAAATATTTATTGAAAGGTTGGTCCCCCCCCCCCCCAACATCTTTTTGTTGTAGTAGAATTAAATCATGGTAATTTGGTAATGTATTTTATTAAAAAAAAAAATTGATTTGTGAAATTTGGAACATAACCCACCCATCCCGACTCCCTGCCTTTCTCTGTGTACACTTCACTTCCATGCTGGCTACGCGCCTGATTACATATAGTTTGTAAAGCTACATGTACATTAAAGATATTGTTTAAGTAAAGGGGGTACATCAATTTATATAGTTTTCAGTTATCAAATTCAAAATTATATGATTTAGGCAATTTTAATGTATAAGAAAGCCCTAAAAGCTCTTATGTCAAATCCAGGCGTACACAAAATAGCACCATTAGCTACAAGCCTTAGAAAATGGGGGGGGGGGGGGGAGGGATGGAGATTTCTTACAGAAAATAGGGATACATTTCCTTGTTAAAAATATTTCTTAGGAAAAGAGATTTCTCTGTTTGGGAGATGTCTTTTGATCAGAGAGATCTCTCGAATTATTGATTCTAACATTCTTAAAAGATAATTATATAATGAAACAGGTTCTCTACATATATAGTGATACGACGTCCCTACCTCGCGATTGTATGAAGGTTTTTTCATATAGAATTTTTTTTTTAATTTACCGTGTGGTAGTAAATACGAAAGAGCAAGGGCCACTTAGGGTTTTTTGGCCCTGTGAATTTCTGAAAAAACGAAACTGCTTAGTTTTGGTTGACAATGCAGTATTTATCACTTGGACTCTTGGTGACAGTGTATCTATTGAACATGACGTACTTTTCCTCTTGAGTCAATGCATTATGACGTTGTAGGAAATGAAAGCACTAAGTCTCTACTATATTTTGATATATGGAATGGGACAGGGGGTGATAGTCAATTAATTGATAGAAGGACAGGGCAATTTTATGCATAAAGTGAACCTAGCTCTTTACAAGTGTGTCATGTTGTAAATTTTGTAATTACTGCTTTCTTTGTGACATATTTTCTATTTGACAATAAAAATCTGCATTGACTACTTCATATTTTTATTAGGTCACCTGAGCCATTCAGGTGACCTATTGTTTATCTGTTTTTGTCTGTTCGTCCATTAACATTTGAACATTTTCAGCTTCTTCTCTTGAGCCGCAGAATCAATTCCAACTAATTTTCGCATATAGCATTTTAGTATATGAGTGAATGGGAACAAATTTTGTGAATGTCATGGTCCCCGCAATCCTAGGCTTCGGGCCTTAGAGGTGGGGTTAAAACCATCAAAAGTATAGTGCTAAGACGCAACGTCAAGAATTGCTACTAACAAGAAATTATACTTTTAATTCGCTTTCTGCTTACATTTCTAGTAAACATGTAGTGTTATATATGAAAATAAAGGTATTTTTCTAATCAAGAATATTGTAACAGAAAAAATATTGTTCCAAAGGTATTCATACATCGACCGGCCATTATATACGGGAATAACGTCGATTTCTGCCTTGTCCCGCTGTAACAAGAAAATACCTTCTAAAGAGTTTTTCTCGAAAAAAAAAAAAAGGAAAAATAGTCTCACATCTCTTCGAAATTTCATAGGATCGTTCTATTACATCACATTTAAACGTAACATTTTTGTTGACAACCTCTGTTTAGAGAATGGATACGGACATCCTTTTAAATAAAGATCTTTTAAGATGCCCCATTCAATGAAATTTTAGTGTACCGCATTTTCAATGGAAGAAAAATGAAAATTTTGTTGGTAAGTTAACAAATTTGATTTGGCATACACTGAGTACTTTTAAACAACTACTTGTTGCCGGAAGATAATGAAAATTTTCCAAATTTTAAAGTTTCTAATTAAACATCATCCGTGTCCTACAGACATGTCCCGATGTGTAAATGACGCGTCTTATCAAATATATATTACTTAATAACTTCGAATTCAAGAGGAAAAAATTATTAAATTTTACATCAGTGGAAAGTACCTAAAAATTACTTTCCGTAAATGTAGGTTTTACCTGATCTTATAAGTTAGTAAGAAAATTAGAAAAAAAAATCAAAATGTCTTGCGGAAGTGTCCCCTAGCTTGCTAAGATTACGTCTGACGTTCTTATGCACGGCTCGGGGTTGTACGTCAATGTGTATTTCCTATTAATTTATTTACTTATTTTTGTACCCTTCAAACCTTACATATTAAGTTATATATATTTTTTGAAAAATCTATGCAGTTGTAGAGTTTTCATAGCGTGACATCACATGGAATAGAAAACACAAAGATAGAAAATTAGAAACAATTTGTCTAGATGAACTGCTTTAATGAAAAAAGTACATTTACCCAAGGTTCTTTCCACAAATTACCATTTCTTCAATATGATTGATTATTCTCTAAAT